TTAAAATTTTGTTATATTTTAATTTTAAAGTTACTTTTTCTATTTTGGTTTTACATCTTTTTAAATAGATTCTCTAATAAACTCTCTATTATTTCTCTATACTATTTAAATATTATTTTATTCATTTTAATTTGAAATTATTTTTGTAAACTTCAACACAATTAACTCCAAGATATAAAAAGTGTGTTTGGTTTCAGTTTTCTGAAAACTGAGTTTTTTGTTTTTCGTATTTTTTTGTTTTTAGTGAATATTTTTAAAATTTTAAGCATTTTTTATATTTTTTTAGATACACTTAGATGTATCTAAAAAGTAAAATATTTGTGAAAAGATATTTTAAAAAATTAATAAATACACAAAAATAAGAAAAATATACTGATTTTTTTTTTTTGTATTTTTGGTATTTAGTGAATTTTATAAAAAAATCACAAAAATATATATATTTTAAGTATATTTATATAGGTGTGTTTAAAAATTTAAAAAATTTACTTAAAATAATTAAGAAATTCAATAAAAACAAAAAAAAAAGAGAAAATAAAAAAACTTTAATTTTTTGGAAAGTGAATTCTAAAACCAAAACGAAGCAGACTCGTTGCTCTGCTCCGCTAATCTCTTGTTAATATGCTATTTACCTTGTCTCAACATGGCCTAGAAACAAGGCAAAAAATATATAAATTGATTCAAAACACAACTGTTTTTAATCATACCTATAAAATCAAAAACACTTTCTAAGCAACAAAGAACAAAAGATGAAACCCTCTAGTTTCCATTCATAAAATAAAATAACAAAGATTTAAGAATATACACAAAGCACTCTGTTCTATCCTACTGTTTGTCATCCCTAAGTGGCAAAAACAAAAGCTCGGAGAAGGTTTATATGTTAGTTTCTCTTATTCTTCTCCATGTTCATAATCTATCGATCAAACACTTTTTTCTCAATAATTTAAAGCTTCTTGAACCTGAGAACAAGACCTCTGCATCTTCACACCGCTCAAACTCATCCTCGACGCCATTATTTCATTCAGCGAAAGCCTCTTCTTAGAACCCGGTTCAGGCCTCTGCTTCGGAGCACTATGAGACCTCAGTTTCGCATTGAACGATTGCGTGTTCGTCATGTAGTTCGGGAAGTTGGAATATGGCCTGAAAAAGCTGTCTCCGCACACGCTTTTCGCTGGCGTGACTGGAGCATTTGATCTGTACGAATTTGCCAAACGAGGCGTGCTCTGAGCAGTTGAGAACCTGTAATCATCGCCGTTGAAGCCCCAATCGAATTCTGGAAGGTTTCTGCACTCGGGGATGGAAAGACGAGCGGGAATTGGACAGGGAAGGGGTGATGAAACTGTTTGGTAATATGGGTCTTCACAAGAGTCTGACATTAATGTGTTCATTCGACGTGATGATCTTGATCTAGGCCTGTAAGTGTCGATTTCAACTATTTTGGGGCTTTCGTCGAACGCGCTTAGCGAATTTTCTGTAGATGCTGAAAGTCTCTTGCTATGGAATTCACTCCATGTTTCATCAATTCTTCCCTGAAAACAAGAAACAGAAAAAATGAGAATTGAAAAAAAATTCCATAAAGAAAAGTATGAGCAATGCAATTCACTTCTCACCATGGACCTTCGGGCACGAATTTCTGGTTGATATTTGTTGTCTTTTTTGAGCAGACGACGAGCTCTCTGGGATCGAACAGTGGCCTGAGCTCGTATGAGAGCTTGCATACAATGAAGAGTCGCAGTTGCTCGTTTTCGAACAAGGTAGCCCCTAACAAGAGCTTGTAACTTCACCAGTCCTTTTAGAGCTCGATGTGCTTTCCTTGCCTGAAGGTGAACCAAATTAGATTCAACACAAGAATCCAAAATTTTCTTTTTGTCATCTAGGGAACAAAGAACCAACCCGGGTCAAGAGCAGGCTCAAAAGCGGTTTTGATCCAAGACTACATTTTTTTTTATCCGGGGAGTTGGAAGGGGGAACTAGGGATTGATCCAATGTCAAGAGCGGACTCAAGAAATGTTTTAAATTCCAAACTACAAAGTTTTTTCCCTTTTTTTTAGCCTGGGGAACTGGGGATCGACCGCCAGGCCATGAGAGAAGGGGAAGGGGAACTGGGGATCGACCCCAGGTCATGGGCAGGCTCAAGAAGTTTATCACGAGTTGGGCCAAGCCCGCCTCGGGCTGCGATCGGGCTTCGGGCCGCCCACGGGCTGCGGGCCAATTTTACACTCCTATCAATGTGAATGTTAACATGTCAATGTGAATATTCACATTGCCAACAGGTCGGGCCCGCCCTGGCCCGAGGTCAGGCTTCGGGCTGCCCACGGGTCACGGGCCAATTGTACCCTCTTATCAATGTGAATGTTAACATGTCAATGTGAATATTCACATTGTCAACAGGCCGGGCCGGGCCCGCCCGGGTTTCGGGCAGCCATGGGGCGCAGGCTAATTTTACACTCCTATCAATGTGCATGTTAACATGTCAATGTCAATATTCACATTGTCACGGGTCGGGCCAAGCCTGCCTCTGGCTGCGGTCGGGCTTCGGGTTGCCCACAGGCTGCAGGCCAATTTTACACTCTTATCAATGTGAATGTTAACATGTCAATGTGAATATTCACATTGTCAACGGGCTGGGCCGGGCCCCCCTGGGCCGCGGGGGGGCTTTTGGCCATCCATGGGCCGCGGGCCAATTTTATACTCTTATCAATGTGAATGTTAACATATCAATGTGAATATTCACATTGTCAACGGGCCGGACCAGGCCCGCCCATGGGCCGCGGGCGGGTTTCTCGCCGCCACGGGACGGTGGCCAATTTTACACTCCTATTAATGTGAATGTAACATGTCAATGTGAACATTCACATTGTCAACAGGCCGGGCTGGGCCCGTCCATGGGCCGTGGGCGGGTTTCGAGCAGTTACGAGGCGCGGGCTAATTTTACACTCCTATCAATGTGAATGTTAATATGTCAATGTGAATATTCACATTGTCAACGGGCCGGGCCGGGCCCGCCCCGAGCTGTGGGCGGGCTTTTGGCTGCCCATGGGCCGCGACCCAATTTTATACTTTTATCAATGTGAATGTTAATATGTCAATGTGAATATTCACATTGTCAACGGGCCGGACCCGCCCTGGCTCGCGGGCGGGTTTCGGACCACCCACGGGCCAATTTACATTCCTACAAATGTGAATTTTAAAATATGAATGTTCACATCATTAAATTGCTAATCGTTGAAAAAATATTTATAAAGGTATCAAAATTAAATATAAGGGCATAAGTGTCCAAGAAAATAGTGTAAATCAAGAAAATAGACTTTATGGAATAAAACTATACATACATGGGACTAAATGGGTTAAAAAATTCCTTCATGGACTTCTTGGGTTAAAACACTTCTAAATTGGACTTATCAATAAAAATCCCAAAACTGAAAACGTAAGTGTTACCAAACGGCATCTTCATGTTCCATGTCATATTGTCATAGTTGATCATGTTTTTGGGTTGAACATTGCATTTGGTCATATTTTGGAAGACTTGAGTTCAACGAATTGCATACAAGTCATGTACATGAATTAATTTTAAGTTTCAAGTTGAATTTTGCACAATTGGCATGCCTTTGGGCCATGATTTCTTGTTATGATGCTTTAAACATGTTTTATGAGTCTTCATGTATTTTCTCAAGTTTTGGCCCAGAAAAATCAAGTTTAATGCATTTAAGGTTGAGTTTTGAGCTTGAGGATCAATCTGGAAATTCTAGATTTTTGATCCACGCTCGAGCGGGGAACTTCACGCTCGAGCGTGCACTCTGAGTACTTGCACTTCCTCTCGAGCAACGATGTTTACGCTCGAGCGTAAAATGCATATACCTGGAAGTTTTTGTGTTTTACAGTCCGCTCGAGCGAGGGAATCTACGCTCGAGCGAGGGTCTGAGTCTCACGCTCGAGCGTCCGTCGAGCATGAAAATCATGCATCCAGTACTTTTTCAAGAGTTTACAGTCCGCTCGAGCGAGAAAAGTCACGCTTGAGCGGGGCTTCATTGGCTGCATGTACGCTCGAGCGTGGACCTTATTTTCAGCAAATTTTCAGAAATGCTTTCCAATGCATTCTTGCATCCTCATTCCATCCTAGACATTCCTAAGCCATGTTTAAGGCTCCATAATGAGGATTAAAGGTTAGAAACACACTAAGAGCAAACGACATAAGTTATGTACAATTCGAACGTGTGTTTCAAGTGTGTATCTGTTATGTGTCATGTAGGTCACGTGCCGCATATCGTTTGACCAATCTGCTCCGTCTGTCTCTCTCAAGGCTAACTGTGAGTAATAACTTAGTAAAGTTATGTTCAACTGTATTTATTTTCTGTGTGATAAAATAAGATCTGTTTTCTGATATGCTATATTCTGTACAATGAATGATTGTCCAATTTCTGATATGTAATTGTGACATCCTTAGCATCATGTGAAATATGTTGGCTGTTACCCGGTATCGGAGGTTCCATCATGAAACTTAATCTGTCTGCACTCTGTTACCCATACCGGAGGCTCCATCATGGGGCTCAGCATATTTATTCTCTGTTACCCGGATTCGGAGGTTCCTTTATGGGACTGGTTATTCGTAACCCTCACGTGTCTGCATCTGTTCTGTTTCTGCTCTGTTAATGCTAATGGATGTATCACGTATACATACACCTGACTTATGATTTCTGTATATGATTTGGACAATTTATGAATTTTATATGAACTGAATTATGTATTCTGAATCTGTGCGGACTCATTCATTGAAACCCCTTTACTCTGTTATTGTTCATTGAGCTTTCGCTCACAGTTTATATTATGTATGTAGGTGAGCCGGTGCGTGATCAGGGCCAGAGTTGACGGCCTTCATTTCTGTTTTTGTCAGCCAACCGTTGTGCCTCCCGAGGAGATTCCAATTGAAGTCTAGTTATACGGCTATTTTTGTACTTACGTTAGTCTCTGTCTGTTTTGTACAGTTGGGTCTTGGATAGTACACTTTTGTAAATGTTTGTAATTATGTTAACCTTGATCGTCATGCTTATATGTATATAAGTTTTGAAATTTTCTGTCCCATGTTTATCGACACAGCTCATTGGACTATTTATGTTTTGTACATCTGCTTCCGCAGCCCCTTATTATATGCTTATCTGTTAAGAGGCCTTTGGTAATTCACGGATTACTGGCCGGTTACGATGCTAAAGCTACATGGGCGAGTCTGGGTCGTGACGAGTTTCACCTGGCCTAAGCTTGTTAGTAATTAGACCGAGCTACATCAGCTCCTATCTCGGTCTGATATGCGACCCAATTTCAAAAGAAGCCTCTTCCTTAGCTCGACCCAATTTATTTATAAATTACCCTCTCAATTTATAGTCCTTCTATCACAAAAGAAATCAATAAGCCCACCATCTCAATGAATTTTTTTTTTTGTGATTTAGGGGTACCACGTGACCATGTTTTTAACTAATCACAAATTATCATGTTCTTTGTTGTTTTTTAATTATCCAATATAAAATTGTAAGTCTCACACAATCACAACATACTTGAGACATCACGTGATGATATCCCAAAACCATTAAATAGCTTCTCTATTTCAACCAATCGTCAATTATGATACCCTCCATAGTTCTTCCATCGTCAACCGAAATTAATCAAACCACCATCTCAATCAATTATATTTAATTTGGGACACCATGTGATGGCGGCCTTGAGTACCAAATAACTTCTTAAGAGAGTGACGCTGTGAGTACGATACCCCACCGAATCCAGGTCGCAAGTCCTATGTACTAGCTCGTGTCCGTGCACACAACAACAAAAGATGCTTTAAATTGTCTTTAAAATATAAAAACATCAGGAAATGAGTATTATTATTCCGGTTAAAAAATTATATTTATTTTTTAGACTCAATAATATATTGAAAAGATGATTAATTAATAATTAAATATTATCTAATTATTAACTAATTAGTTTCTTAATAAATCACTAAATTTAAAAAAATAAATCTAAAAAATAAATTTATATATCATTTCCTAAAAAAAAAAATAATTTTGCACGAGAGTGCTTTCCATTGTGGCTAAAGTGCCATCCGTGTTTTTTTCTTGTTCTTGTTGCCTACTTCATTCTTTCATATTTTGGTCACGATTGCACCATTACTTATAATTCAATTATTTTAAGAATATTCTCGTATTATAGTCAAGATGGACCTAGAAGAGATAAGAGAGGACAATCATCTCTCCTATGATTTAAAAAATACTATTTATTATAATAGTATTAGGTATAATTATTTACAAATTATAAAGGGTTGTCTCCTAAGTTTTTATTCTTTTACAAATTTTAAGTGATCATTCTCTCTATATATTTAAAAAAGTCTTGCTACCACTCCATATCTATGAAACATGAAATCAAAATATAAAATTTTAAAAAAAATGCACAAAATATAATAAAAGAAATTAATTTTTATAACTAGTATTAATTACAAGCTCTAGTTTGTAAATAATAGAATAAGGTATCAACTAGTTAATTGATCATATTTATTAAAAAATATATAATATTTTAATGTTGATCTTATCATAGAAAATTTTAATGATGTGAAGGAGTGCATAACAACTCAAGATAATTTTTTTATTTTTATTTTTTATTTTTTTATAATCGGATGTTTGAGTCAAAATACGTGCACCTCGACTAAAATAAAATAAAAAATTAAAAAAAAACTGAAGATATCTCACTTTAATATATAGTTGTTTTATAATTGTTATCTTTTAATGTTGATACAAAAAAACATGTTATATATATATATATATATTCATCTTATTTTCACTTTTAATACTAGTAGAAATTGATATTATAGTTCATACTTTCTTTTAAAAAATTTGTTAGTATATATGTTTGTCCGCTA